CAAACTAAAGCAAATAAGTTTTTTATCCGACATCGATCTTTTGACGTCGTCCCTTACCAGCCTGGAAGCAGAATTCATCTGAATTGTCTTCACAGTCATCAACACCATCACATATCAAATCAAGATGTATACAACGACCATTGAGGCAAGAAAACTTTGTGTCCTTGCAACCATCATCTAGACGATAAGAAAGTAAGAAAGTCATAAAATTTGTCAAATGATTTGATCCCTTTACAAATGACAAGAATCATGTTGTTATGGCAACTGCAAGAACCTACCAAGGTCATCTTCATCCACTGATAGTCCAATTGCTTGTGTTGCATAGAATATAAGAAAGCCTGATGTCTCTTTAGATTCATCACTCACTAGCTCAATGTGTAGACGGTTATGAGAACTTTCAATAATACTTGGAGGTTGGTTGTTATGTCCATTGCAGTATTTACCAATCAGAGGGTCACTAGATGAATTCCCATCATACACTGCAACATAGTCAAAATGGCAGCTGGTGGAAGGCTCTATATCAAATGTTTTGAAATTGATCTAAAAAAGTAATGACTTTCAGATTAATTGTTCTAGAAATAATATGTAACGTCACAGGTGTTTTACTGCCTAAACTCAGCTATAAGGGTCTGTACAGGGGGAAATATTCAATTTAATTTTAGTTTAATTTTAGCAAATTTGATGTTTTGAAAAATTCACTAGGTTATAAATTCATGGATTGAAAGAAAACAATATATTCTATTGTTTGCAAAGAAGTTGAAAACAGCACTTTTTACCAAAATGACAATAGAGATTTCACAAAATGAATAAATATGAGAAAGGTCCACCCAAAATACATCAGGCAAATAAGCAAAAATAAAATCCAGCAAATAACAAGTCATTGTCAATGACACGTCCCCGTTCCGTTCATATTTGAGTGACATATACATTCAAAGCAGATCATGACCGAAATGCACCTGCATTGTACAACACAATGTACTAAATCTGAACAAAATCCATCCATGCATGACTGAGATCTGGTTCCGGAATTGTGAAAATACGTGATTTTAATGCATTTTCGGTCTTAAATTGCCATCATTCAGCTATTGTTAAGCGGATCATGAAACAAATGCACATATCTATTTGTGACATGATGTACCATGTGTGTGTGAAGTTTGAACTTGATCAATCCAGACATGTCTTGGATACGGATCCAGAACTGAATTCTTTAAGAAAATGGCCGCCAGTCGGCCATTTCGAACTTGATCCGGGAAAAAAAAATAACGTGCATCAAGGTCCTATTATGTTTAATGTAA